GGGCTAAAGTTTCTCGGGGTCTTGATCAGTCGGCGACGTCGTAGAAACACCAGAACAAGTGTGCCGAATATTAACGACGCTAAGATCACGCATACCGAGAAACCAATGAGTCCGATTAGTAGAGTGGACATGCGTTCCTCTGGTGGACTACCGAATCCAAGTGAAAATGTCCTGTGGAGTGGGAAGAGGTAACGGAATGCGATACAATAGAATGACGAAAAGGGAAATAAGCATTATGATAATCACCGCTGCACTGGTGGGCTCCAAAATGCTGTCACTCTATTCTGAAAATACGTGTATACAAAGAACCAATGAAGAACTGTGAAAATGTCTTTGGTGAATTCATTCGAAAAGCTGTACACTCATACTTATATAAATGAGTGCAATACCTGACGTCAGAAAATAGGGGGCAGTGAATTATGTATGCTGTCGGAAAACGATCAAAATCGGCGTGATGCTTGGACTGCAAGATCAAAATTAACTATGCTACGTCACTGTCATGTGTACACAAGCAATTTCGTTGTTTTGGTCTGGGGAGCCTGAGTGTCTCGATCGATTGTCGCTGTGCAAACAGTTGAAGCTTCATAAAACAGATGCGAATCACCTCTGCGATTGCTAACGTTCGAAACCGTGTTACTATCGACGATTGTGGTGAGACTCGATAAATAACCATGATGCATGCCAACTGTCTTCATTATGCGAGCAACAATTAAGCTTGAAAAAGCTTCACTTCAACCATATGTGAGACAGCGTCAATTGTGTTCTTTAATGAGTTGAGATAAGTAACCTGTAGTTCAACCTCCACAGATTACATTACGAGCGCATTTGAATTGATAGACACTCATAGACGAGGAAAATTAGACAGCTTATCCTCGTTGTGACATTCTATGTTTGGTTATTACAGAATACACATCTTAGCTTTGTGATATTAAAAGTTGATTTCGCTGCAGCGGTTAAAGGTCTACTGACCCTGTCAGCTGTAACATATCATTTGAATGGAAGCTTGATAAAACGAGCCTCATTGTTCGCTTTTAGTATTTCTGTAGGCTTATTACGCTCAGCTTGTTTAAGTAATCAAAGCACAACACCAATTTGGAGAGGATTCCGACCTAGCAAAACACACATGATCCATCCCACACTTCCCGTCTAACCTTGTATTGCATCCAATTTGCTTGAGAGAGATATGAAAAACTGGAAGCGAGCGAGTGGGGTGATCTATGGGTCAACAGTGGACAAAGGAAAAGTGCTTACCACACCAGATAGCTTGATGCTTTGTAAAAGCGATCTTCCGGTGTCCCAAACGACACATTTTGAATGCGAATACCAACCGGTGGTTGACGATCAAACCGTTCGGCCCAGACATGCCTGAATGGGATACCTTGGAACTGTTGATGCATACGAGTGCCAAAATATTCGGATGCTACAGTTTGTCTCAGTGGCACTCGTTGATCTCTTGATGTGATATTCCGATGTTTACAAATTTTGACATCCCGACTGGTTTTGATATCCCGCGCGTATTTGGAAACGTAACAAATTGGCCGGATTTGAATAAAGGCAGGTGGTTCCGGTTTGTACTGTGGCTGTACGGACTCGTTCAAGTAGAGAACCGCCTGACCTAAATTGATATTTTGTATCTGGAAAAAGAATTAGTAATAGCAATATGTAAGGCCGCTCTCTGAAACTGGTTGGGTTCAATTGCTCTTTTGATTTTCCTGCTACTGAATATCATTTAAGGAGGCAAAGCATAAACCAACGATTTTGACTCAAAATATCCTGTTCTACCGACTACGGAAGACTGCTGAACTATGGGAACCCCGCCGGGCTCGGTAGGATTCTAACACACGCAGGGACAACGCCTATGCATTTCGCACACAGCATGCCATTCCAGTGAAGTTAAGAAGACACCAGTGGCAATGGCGATTTCGTATAATTTTTCCACCCTAAGCAACTAAATGCGTGCCGTTATTCCCCAAATGAGGAACACTTGGGGGAATATGTATCACCAAAAAATTGCATTAATTTGATCAAATTGCAAAGCAAAACAGTGAAAAAGTGTGGTGATGAACTCTAGACAGAAACTGATGGAAACAAGGGAACATGAATTGCGGAGGAATGATGAAATAATTGCCGGATAACTGTCGAAAGCACAGAACGATTTTTCATACATCGGGTGCGTAGATCCAGTCCGACTCAGTCAAAGAGCAAATTTTGATACCGATTGTTGCTTTATATTATTCCTGGAAAGGGATTAGTGATACGTGGACACAGCTCGGGGTATCTTGCTTCCGTTCAGTTGGATGGATTGAGTTCACGACCATTAGGCAGAAAATTTCTCATTCGCTCACTAAAAATTGCTTATGCTCGA